AAAAATCCAAACTTACCACTAGAACAGAATAAATCTGTAAGACATTAGAGCAAATACAGTACGTGTGTAACTGATTAGTGTTCTTCATGGGAAAAATTATGAAACCCATCTGAAGATGTTGAGGTCTTAGAAATAACAGCTTCTTATTCCCACTGGGAATTCAACTCTGATGGGTAGAGACCCGTTAAATTCTGAGGGTTTTTTCTATTTTTACATTACTCTGAATCGGAAACATGTTACATCTCTATCAGGTTGGGTTTATCTTATTTTCAGTAAAAAAAATAAGATAAAAAGCCTCCCATTATCCGGTTGAATATTCCACCGAACAAGGACCAAGCGGAACTCCCGGTTTCCACACCCGCCTGATTCCGAAGGGATCCCGCAGAGCGGGGCGTGGGGCGGGCACGGCACGGTCCCGGTCCCAGCCCTGGTCATGGTTACAGCCACTGTCCCAGCCCCGGTTACGGTCACGGTCCCGGCCCAGGTTGCAGTCACTGTCCCAGCCCCGGTCCCGGTTACGGTCACTCTCCCAGTTACAGTCACTGTCCCAGCCCCAGACCCGGTCCCGGTCACTCTCCCGGTTACAGTCACTGTCCCAGCCCCGGTCCCGGTTACGGTCACTCTCCCAGTTACAGTCACTGTCCCAGCCCCAGACCCGGTCCCGGTCACTCTCCCAGTTACAGTCACTGTCCCAGCCCCAGTCCCGGTCCCGGTCACTCTCCCGGTTACAGTCACTGTCCCAGCCCCAGTCCCGGTCCCTCTCCCGGTTACAGTCACTGTCCCAGCCCCGGTCCCGGTCCCGGTCACTCTCCCGGTTACAGTCACTGTCCCAGCCCCGGTCCCGGTCACTCTCCCGGTTACACTCACTATCCAGCCCCAGTCCCGGTCCCTGTCCCAGCCCCGCCCGCCGCGCTCCCGCTCCGGCGCGATGGCGCCACCTGCCGGCGCCGGCCGGGAGCGGCCGCGGGACCCCCGGCAGGAACCGGGACCTGCCCGGCAACGCGAGCCGGCAGAGTTAGTCCTAAAAGTGACTTATAAAACGTGAAAGGACCACACACTTGTGGCACCTGATACAGGGCATTCTTATTTAAGGAAAGTCCTCTGAGCTGAGCAGCATCTACTTGCCAAATAATCAAATTACCTATTGGTTCATAAAGTGGATTCCCCAAGGCTTCAGGACCCACGCAACAGCAGCTTTAATCATTAAGCACATCAAATTGAAAAGAAGTGGTGGAAAAGAAGAAAGGACAGGAAAGAGACACCAACACACCCACAAAAAATAGATTGAGAGAACATTAGCTAGTAATATTCTGCAAATGGACCAATCACTCATAATTACCCTGTTACAAACACCCCTCCTAACACAAGTGACCAATTTATTTATTTTTGGGAAAACAGTCACTGCCAGTAGTGAAGAATCACAATTCTTCATAACAGAAGCATTAAATACAAAGCCTAATTCTCAAAAGCAATGAAATTAGGATGGTTTTATATGATGCTGTCATTAATTCACTCCTTACTACACTCAAGGGAAATATTCATCCCAATTTTTACCAACACTTTCTGCTGATACAGGTCTTTTCCTCGTGACAAGAGCTGAAAAGGAGAAAATGTTCCAACTGGCTGTAGACTTACAATCCAAGTTTGAAAGACACACTCCTAATTTATTGGATTTTTCAAAACCTGCAAGGCTCCTCCTCCAAAGAAGCAGGATTTCTTCTACTCCTTAATGCTGACTTTTTGCACTTGCATGGGGATTTAGACAAAACATAACCATCTCAAGCCTCAGAACCCCTAGACTGTCAGATTTTCTGCTAAAATTGACAGCTACAGATCCTGTCAGGACTGAGGCAGCTGCAGAACAAGCCCTTTGAAGTGAGCACAGCTTAGACTGAACCAGCTATGAAGAAAGGAAACAGCAGAGGAACCTTCTCTTTATTTTTTAAAGCTTTTACTCGCAAATATTCACCTACCACTACGTGGCTAGAAAGAAAGCCTCTTCTCTGGTTAATTAGTAGTTGTTCTCTGTATGAGTCTCAGCCCAAGCCAGAGGAAACTTCAAAGGCCTCACTCATCAAATGTCACGGCACGAGCTCCACGTGAAGCTGCCAGTTCTGATCTGGCTGCACAGCTACGGCTCACGCTGGGCCGGGGAGCGGAGCTGTACAACCAAGTAATTGCTAAGCAATTGTGTAACAAAAGAACAAACTTCCATTGAAAAGATTTGGCAAAGTCACAGCAGTGGGCAAGACAAGAACTGAACAGTCTGCCAGCAGTACAATCCTGCTACATGCCTCACATGACAGCGTCTTCTTTACCCACAATCTGTGTAATCAGTGGTTTACCTCTTTTGTTCATTTGGCTTTTAACGTCCTTATCTGCACCTGTGACACCTGCAGCTTTAAAACAAACAAATCAGATCCAACACAGACCACTTAAGACTGTGTCAGAGCTGAGGGCCAGATTTCATTTTGTGGTTATACTCCGTAACACAAACATTCTGTAGCATTCTACTGCCACCAGTATGTAAAAGGAGAACAAATAAGGTATCAAGCTAACATTGAGGGGAGAATAAAACACAGGACATTATTCATAAAGGAATGAAGCCTCAAGACTTCATCAAATATTAAACCAATAACATCTTCACACTCAGTAACCAATGTAATACAAATTTTGATGTACCAGTAGTATATACTTGTGATCTATCAGATACCTCTCGGTCAATAAATCTTACAAACTCTTAAGGGCCCAAGTTCAATTCTCTATTACTTTCTTCTGCTTCATCAGGGCTTTTAAAACAATGTTGGGCATGAACAAGATTAGTGATTAGTCATAAGTATTTTGGAAGGATTATTTAACTTTTAATAAGCTTGGTTGAGTTCTCCCCCAATAAACCAAAAAAGAATAAACCAGGCTTTATAAAGAATATAGGCTTATATAAAGGTTTATATAAAGAATAACCCCATCCTCCCCCAGCTGTTTTACCTCACAGTGTCAACAGCCATTGCATTCCCAAAAGGCACAGAATGGTTTAACTGACACTGAAAGGGTTAAGAATAAGTACTCATATTCTTTCATTCAGGAGTTGTTCTTACATTATTATGGGACAATTAGTGGTAGCACCTATTCAAAAATCATGTAATTTGTGTTCTGTCTTCTCAACACCCTCAAAAACAGGTGTGTGTAATGTTCAAAACATTCTTTTAAAAAAACAGAGTAACTAGTTCTTGTAGATCAGATGCTCCCAAACTGCATTTTTAAAAGGCATTAACATTTGCATTTAATAAATTCACTTCAAGATGTAATTTGTTGTAATTTCTAAATTTCTTGAAGCTAAACAGAGCTGTCATATCAAGAGGTACTTACCTCAGAATTCTGCTTAAGGAATTTATTAAGCACTCCACATCATTGTCTGTTAGAGCTACACTGCAATTTTTCAGTACTTTTTTAACCAATTCCATCCTTTCTCCTCTATTAAAAACATATTGTTTATAAACTCTTTCCAAATGGTAACAAGACACTGAGAACTTAAGTACTTTTTTAGAAAATTGTATAAAGGAGAACTATTAAACCAGACATTAAACCAGCATGCCCCCACCCATTCCAATTTCACAGACCTAAGTGGATTGCCATGATAATGTAATACAGCTTTCATTAAATATCAGAACATTTCACAAGGATAATATTCCTCTCTGTGCATGAATGTCCATTTCTCAACATGCTTCCATGTGTGCAGTGCAGTAGCATCAGGCACCAAAAACCTCTCCATTACTGACACCAAACATACACCAAAAAAAAAAGCTGAAAATTCCAGCCAGTCATTTCCTGTTTCAAAATGGTAAAGTCCTTCAAAATCAATTTCTCCTTTCAATTTTCCACAAATCAGAAATCCACATAGGTGAGTTTTCATCAGGGTTTTTGACTAGCAATGTCAAATGTCTTTTACTGGCCAAGCGCTTTTTTATTCTTCAGTGAAAAAAACAATTTAATGCAACTAAGTACTGTTCTATACTAAGGAATCATAAAACTAGCTTAAGATTTATATGGTATGTACTAATGCATATGATCCAGATATAAATACAATATGAAAGTAAAATATGAAATACACTAAAGCTTGCAGGATATTTATAATGACAAGTACCAGAGTTACTGTTACCTTGAAAATAAATAAAACTGCTATCCACTGGCTTGAGCAGCAGTAAACAACAAGGCAGACAAGAATTTACATAAATTTATGTGTTGAAAATATTTAGTCCCTGATATAACACAATATTTCAATCCTTTGTTTCCCCTCCTACAGGGCAGTATCATCAAGCACAAAAGACACGACAGAAATGGAAGTACAACGCTAAATAAACCCTACTGAACAATCTTCCTTTACATCTTCCCAATAGGTGGCAACAGAATCCCAAAAATACAAAGAAGTTTATATACTTCTTTCTTCACCCACAAAGTAATGGAAGCCCTGTTATGACTTCAATCAATGAACTTGCACCAGTAATTTTAATCAAATGAATCACTGCATCTCAGGAACAGAAATTCTCAGGACAGAATAATGCCAAAGGCCAGAGAATTCAGAGAACTGAAACAAAGCATTTATTAAAAAGCTAATTGTTAACAAACACGTAACCTGATGGCTTATACTCTGAGCTTATCTGGGAGGGGCAAACAACCACAAGCAGGAATTGCAGTAACAAAATATTTGAGCACTAAAGAAGAAATGTTAAGGAAGAAAGAAAATTCTGAACTACTTCTGTTGCTGTTGACATCCACACCTTGGTCTTAAGCAGCATTTATTTACGAGGGTCAGGAAAGGAGTGGGCACTTTTACACAAAGTTTTCAGCTGACAACTTTGTGACAGTAAGAGGTCCACATTAACTCCCGGATTCCTTGTAGGAAATGACAGGAAGTCAGAGTTCTTTTTCCTCGGCAGCTAAACAACTACTTTGTTTTTGTGGCACAAAGCTATAGAAACCAGGTGTAAATCATGCCCACTTACTTGCTTTCCAGGCCAGGCACATCCCTGTCCAGGGAAAGCCTCTCTGCAGTGATCTCCACCTTCCTGACGCTGCCGAAGAAATCCGTGATCAGAACGTTCTGAGGGTCTCGCTGGAACAGGTCTGTCCGGTGCCCAGGCGTGGAAACACACAAGCTTTTTGGACAGACCTGGAACTGAAACCAAGATGGGCAATCACATCCTGTCCCTCATCCAACACTCTCTACATACACCTTCCACAACGAAACAACTACTAAAAAGAAATATAAATAATATATATAACTTGCAATGATTTCAGTACAAGCTCCATAGCTGAAAAAAATGGTAGAAAAAAACCGCATTAAAATGCATAAACATCTTGATTAAGCATTTCTGAAAACCTTTTTCCTTACAATAATGCCACTGGAGTTTAAAAATGCTCCTGTGAAAGCCAAGCATCAATTACATCTAACTGATAAATGCACAAATATATTGTTGAATATAGATGCAGCAATGCTGCTATAACCTTCCAGAAGTCACAACGGGGCATAAATTCTTCATATTTACCAAAAGGAGGCATACAAAATTAAACAAGCTTTAATAAGTAGCTATGCTGAAGGCTTCATAAAGAAGCAAAAATCTACATTTTGATCAGGGAAAGAAAAAAATCCAATAGTCTTGTTTCTAATTTATAGCCTACAAATCAATTTATAGGATCTTCTAATACCAAAAGTGCTTTATTTACATGAAGTTCACAAACATCTTGTGACACCTACAAACCTACATCCCACACATGCTGCAACACCTGAAAGACAAAACCAGCACTAACAAAAGCAGAAGGAACAGTGACAAATTTGTTGCAGCATTTAGAACACCTGGCAAGACAAAATGTCTAATAAGTAACACGTCTGTTATGTACCCAGCAGACACTGAAGGCAATACAATTGCATGTTGGACACAAAGTTGTTTTGCAGAAGTCCTACCATACTTGCCACAACTCAGATCACCTGGTAACAGTGCAGGTTATGTGAGTCCTTCACCTTCCAGCCACACAGAACGTTCTACATAAGAGTTTTAATATACAGGACTAAGAATGTCACTCTCCACATGGGTGCTCATCTTTCTTAATCTTACATTTTCCAAGTGATTTTCACAAACAGGTCCATCAACCACAGGAACTAGAGCTCATATACCTAAATTACATCATGGGTCAGCTCTTCCAAGGTTGCATCCTTATGACAAAACCACAGGTACTAATCAGCTCAGTGCAAATATAACTTGGAATTATCCCAGATTATGACTGACAAAAAACTGTGAGATTCAGGTCATACTTCCCAGCAGAAATACTGTGCTCAGCCTGACACAAAAGGCACAGGCTTTTGGTGCTCATTCTTTCTGGACAACAGAGCCTTACCTTACAAAAAGTTTCCCAGAGAGGAAACAAACTATCTGGCTTTTCTTCATAGAGGACAGATTCTACCTCCCCATTCCTCCCTTCTGCTCTATTCCAGTTTCTCTTTTATCCCTTTTTAGCCCAAGCCTGTAAGCAGCATTAGGCTGCTTGTCCAGGGACACCTCAGTTCTCTTTCACCTTTACCTGAAGCAGACAAGCACACATATACACTCAGCTCTTATTTTCAAGATTCCCAACTCTCTTGCTGGCTGCTATCACACAGCTGCTAAAGAAAAGATGGGGAAAATCATCCCCTTGTTATCCTCCCTGTGGTGAAAATGAACTAAACTCATCAGCATCATGCTTCCCATACAAAAGCCATTTGTTAATGCACACACGAATTTGCTACAGTTCTCATTTTCACCAAAACACTATCCATTTTCTCCAGCTTTGCTCCAATTAAGGACACAAACATAAAAACTAATTATCTGAACTAAACCATAAAAAGTAAGCATTTGCTTTAATCCCACTATTTGAAGCATAAATTATGCTACAGTTATACAAGTAAGTCTCTCGCCAAGGTTTTGAGTAGGAACGTCCTAAAAAACTGCATCAGCATGAAAGTGGGAAACTGATACTGCACCCAACTAATTCTAACCTGTCCTGCAACAGTTTACTGCCACAACATATTGATATGAATTTGAACAAAAATATCAAGTGGCAATGAGAAGAAGACTTCAGTGTTAAAAACCTACCCATCCACTACCACTCTGAGAAAGGACTGCAAACCAATTATACCACAACAGACTAATACTAATAACCAAGGTCTTCTGACAAAAAAAAGGAAAAGGCAAACACTGGCTAGGTTAAGCACACTTTTTCCTATATTAAATTCTCCAAATTTTAATTTTTTTTCCAAACAGAGTTAAGAACTCCCCTGACTTTGTTATCTTAACTTTTCTAACAACAATTTAGCTATTTTATGATAAATGACACCTCATTTAGAAATTGATTTGAATCTTATTTTAAAAGTTCAAATGTACAACATTTCCATGTACAAATGTACAAATTTCAATGTAGTCTTTATTTTCAGGGAATTGTGATCAAACCTATAGTCAGTCACTTGCACAGCTTTATGCTATCCCTTAGCAACACAGATGGAGCAGGTGGGGAGTAGGTGGAGTGGATTATGAAAAATGATGTGTCATTCTTTGCAGGAATGTAATATCCAAATCCTAGGTGCATGTGAAGAGAAGCTGTTTCAAGAGTGGTTAGAGAAAAGTAAAGAGGTAACAGGATAGAAGAGGTATAACAAATACACAGTACTTCAAGAGAAGACATTAGACGTATCAGAAGATTGAACAACTGAAGATCATTTAATTTTAAAGCTAAGTAGTGAGCAATGCAAGTTACCCTGATCTTGGAAAGCATTAATTTAAACTTAAAACATCAGAGTTGGAGAGTAGGATAGAGTACCTTCAGTGCCAGAGTACCTCCTGCAACTGCTGGCATAAAAACAGGTTTGTATCTTTACTATGGACTAACCATATGTCATTTCGGAACTCTTAGATGAAGCCTTGAAAAGCACTAACTCAAAGTCAAGTGGTCACATTTGTTGAAATGTATGCAGATTACAACCCAGTAACTGATCACACAATGGTCTGGGTTGCAAGAGACCTTAAAGATCACCAAGTTCCACTTTCCTGCCAGGGGCAGGGACACCTCCCACTAGACCAGGCCCTGAAGTCCCATCCAACCTGGCCTTGAACAGATCATCACAAATCACAATATATTTGTGTCCCTTCTCTTGAACTCCCCAAGCATCAATCAGCAGATCAATGCATGATAAGATGACTTACATGATGTAAGGAATTTACCAGTATGGAAAACTTCCCTCAGCTATTTCTGAGTATTTGGCATAGTAGCAAAAACACAGTTAGGTATCTTCTCTGAAGAGCTCAAAAAGTACTTGGCCAGCTAACAAACTTCGACACTTCTCACAATAATCAGATTAACATCCTCCTGGCCAGCCCACTGATACCACTTCCCAGAGAGTGTCTTACACAGTAGAAAGTCCTGTTCCTTTTTATTACCTTTTATTATTAACACAAATTAATTTGAATGAACAGGCTAGTCAAAGATACTTAATCAATAAAGAACTTGCATGTTTTTATTTATCAAGATTTATTTTAAACTTACCTGTATCCCATAATTAGAAGGTATTATATTACAGGACAGAATTTAATTCCCATAGAAATAAGTAAAAGAACCTTGAGTCTTAGCCATTGAATCAATTCTGCCAAGTGTGGGTTGTTTAGAGAGAATTCTAGCACACATGTAGCAGTCAGGCTAACACCATCCTCTGTAGACAGAGGGTGGCATAAAACTTTTGAGCAGCTGCTCCTTTTACAGAAAAGAATCTACGACAATGTGTAGCTCTTAGATTACTGATGTGGCACAGCAGGATTTACTGCTACAAGGTACCAAAGTAAAACCCATTACTACAAAAAAACCTAGCATTGGAACAGGTATTAAGGGTTAATAGAGCAAATAAAATATGGCTACTTTTATGTCATCTCACCAGTGTATATATCTTACTGCTAGAGAGACATTTTCATAAATTTCGTCATATTTTACCGGGTTGGATTCTTTTCTTCCTTCTGCTTCATACCTGAAATCTACAGTAACATTTGCCTCAGCTATAATTAAGTTCAAACACTGATGGATTTGTACCTATCTTACTCTGGAATCTAAGCAGATATACAGATAAATTAGTCTCTGCAGGAATTTGTGAGTGCACTGTTAGAATGTTTAATCACATGATGTTGTTTTGCAAAACAACATCAATGCCTGCTTTTCCACATCTGCAAAGTGTCTGCTATTCTGATTTTAGAAGCTTTCTGCTAAAATATTTCACATGCAAAGGCTTCATTCCATTTATACAAATATCTAATGAATACCTTATTATTTTTTTCAGTGGAAATACAAAATCTGGCTAATTTTGGTTATTTTTTTCTGGAGCCAGCAAAGCACTTTCAAATGAGGACAATCCTTGAAGTGTTACACAACTACATTTAACAATAGAAAAAAAATCCTCCCTCCAAAGCTGCTTCTGAGAGAAACAGCAGGAGCATAAAAAGCATTTGAAGAACCCTACAGACAAAATAGATTAGTTTTGGAACTATTAAAGTCATTAGCATATTCATGAATGTTGAGTATTCTACTTACTAGGTCATTCATATTTGTCTGACTGGCTGGATGGATTTCTTCCAAGAACTCTAACACATAGAAGGTGTATCTGTCCATGAGGTGAACGCCAATCCCCAGGTCAGGCTGATGCTTTAAAAACAACACACAGCGGTTATTGGGCATTTGCAGGAGAGAACTCAGCATTCAGGAGAAGGAACAGAATGTAATAGCATATTGCAAAAGTTAAGCTTGATTCTTTTTGTTCTTAGGCAAATTATGCAAAGAAAATGGCTAGCTGTGAAGAAACCTAGTGCTGATAGGCTGAACAATGCAGCTTACCTATAAACTGTATCCTGGTAATATCTATGTTGCCCAAAAGGCAGGGAACCCCTTTTTAATGGTCCAGCATCGATCTGTGGACTTTGAAAACAGGGCTGGAAGAGCCAGTGTATCTTATAGCAGTGCATGGGTTCAGATAATCCTGACCAGCTGCTTTTGGTCTGCCTGGGATCTCTCCTATGGCTCCTTCTGTAATTCAGCTGGGATATAATTACAGCAGGTGAAGGATAGCATTTTGTTTTGTTTTCTATCAAGTTTAGTAAGTCCTAGATTGAATATTCCTCACACCCATCTCTCAGCAGTCTTCCCATCAGATTCTTTACTATCCCTAGACAATGCATATACTGGCCAGCAAGCACAGAAATCCATCATTAGCCTGGTTCTTTGGGACAGCACACTTACAAGTTTTGTCAAACCCCCACAAAATACCTTATACATTCAGCAATTTGAATAAGAGAAATCTTTAGTTAAAAGTCAGTAGGAATTGTGCTTCTAATTCAGGCATTCTGAAAACTGTCTTAAGGATCAGATAAATCTACTTACTGATAAAGAATCTTCTCCTACTTGGCTGCTAGCCAAGGCCATTATATTGGGTGAATAAAATCGTTCATACATGGATGCTCCTTGACAAGTATCAATAATAAACAACAATTCATTGTACCTGAAAAAAGAAAACAGCCTCCTTACCCATTTCTACTTAAACACCATATACATACTTTGCTTTTTAGTTACCAGGGCAGCTGCTCAGAACCTAAGGAACAGGAGCTCACCCTGATCAGTTTTAGCATGTGAATTTGCCCAGAGCAATACCTTTGAGCAGCTCTAACTGCAGGAAGCTGAAAGCAAAAACTAAAACTCTGCTCTCTGAATGCAAACTCTCAGAAAATGTTATGGACAACCAACAGTATCACTGCTGCAGGTAAGCAAGGCATACCAGAAAGACACACTTAAGAGTATGTTCAGGATATTCAATATTCAATGTCTACATAATGCTTATTTCTTACCTTCTTTTCTGCCACATTTGTTCAAAGGCATCAGCAAGCTCTACATTTGTGATTTCTTCAGAATCCTGAAATTTTAGGAAACCATTTCCACCATGGCCTGACAGAAAAATCAGAAGTTGGGCAAGGATATAGGTTAAAGGAAGATACACAGCCTTGTTGATCATTTTTCTAAAACAAGGTAAACACAATTTTCTTTCTACAGAAACAGTCCAACAAAACAAAACATCAGTACAGTAAAAAAAATACACATACACCATTTCAACAGGAAACTATACTGGCTTAATACTGCTTTACAGGCATTTTTTCTTAATTAGAATAACATGCTAAAACCAGAAAAAAAATCTTTTGGTCGATCCTTTTGTGCATTTGGACTACTGATGCTTTCAACAAACGCATCCAACTGAGCAAGCATCAATAGACTGTACACAGAAACCTGCAATTACCTGTCATATATATTAAAATATTGCTTCTGTCATCAGAAAGAAGACGTTTCGATCGTGGTGTGCTTGGTGGGATTCTTCCCGTTAAAACACGCAAGAAATTTTCCACAGTAACCTATGAATAGAAGCATAAAGTCATTTTCTAAGTTAGAATGACATGAGTCTTTTTTATCTAAAGATAAAAATATTGATCAGCCATAGGCTGGGTTACAGAAATTAAATAATGGAATGTATCTATAATGCAGTGTATCTAACCAGACATAGTACAGCATTGTATAAACTGCATAAACATTTTCTGTGTAAGGTTTTACTTCAGGTTAAGAATCATGTAGTACTTTTTATTATACTCTATTAACACCAGCTAGTTGCTTAATTATATCCAATAAATCTACCACCATTATTAAATACAATTTTAAAATACATTTACATTGATCTAAAAACCTGTCAGCATATAGCTTCATTGTGCCAAAGCTGCTCCTGTACTCACAAAATGCTCCAACATTAGCGTGTGTTACCATGGAAAAACAAAAGTTTAAATTCCCTCTGCAACTCAGGAAAGAAAAAACAAGATCAATTCAGTTACATAAATGTGAGTGATCAGATGAGATCCATCTGAGTGGTGACTGCAACACATCCTATAAAACACCACTTCCCTTTTAAGTACACGTGCACAGCTCAAATGCCAGCAACAAATCCATACCCAGGAAAAAACATGACAAAAAGAATGTAGCTCTATTCCAGTTCTGTCTCTTCACTTTTTTGTATAAAGCTTCAGAGAAATAAAACATCTACTATATACTTAAATACAATCCAATAAACCTTTAGCAATAATTCTATAGCACTATTGAACCAAGAAACTAGTGTGTAATTTTGTCTCAACTGGTAAAGACACTCCTGGTATGAAGGAATATTACATGAAAAGAAAGGTGACAGAATGCAGATTTTTATTCACTAATTGCTTTGCAGTAATGATTAAGTTATGGCTTTTGTTTTATTTTAGGAGCATATGCTTAAGATTAGGAATTAGAGTACAGCTACCTAATAAACAATTCACCTGCACACCAAAATTTTCACAGTAATTTCTGTGTTGCCAAGATGAGACACTGAGCAGTCATTTCCAGAGAAATTTCAGTAATGTGATTCTATTCCATTATTTAAAATAGACACACTAAACATGATTCCAGTACAAGGAACTTCAAATACAAACAAATATCAAGGAGGGGAGGGGTAGGTATTTTACTCTCACCACTGATAATAAAAGCCCAGCCCAAAACCAGTAATATGAACAGAAAGACTTCCTCAAACTTTACAGATGCTGCATAAATCTTTAAACTAACACTAGAAAATAAAGACTCAGTGTTTTAATTAAAGCACAGTTACCTCATAGCTTCTGTAATCCACTTCCACATCATCTCCATAGACATTCAGCTCCATGTTTTTATGACTAAACACAGTAGCAGGTTTGGGATTTCTGGGATTACATGCCATATCGTCTGCCAGCATCAAGACAATGTGACTGTGAAAGATAAGAAAAAAACTATTTCAGACATTCTGCTTTCACATAACAGTCAAACAGAAATTAGAACAACACTCCTCAACAATTACAACAATCGCTTGGATCATTAAAAAGATTCCTAGAATTGCAAGTGAAACTTTGCAGAATTATACCCTATTTCCTTATGAGCATCCTCAGTATCACAGATGTGACACACAGAAATGCAGCTGGCTATCATTTATCCACAGGACTAAGGCCAAAGATGAGCAGGGGAGTATTTGACATCAGCAACTTTAGTACACAGGCTTGCCTGGACCTAGGGGGGTAGAGCTCTTAATAAAATAATTCAGATTTTTAAAGGGCACTAAAACCAACCAACTCCAAGAATCATAATAAATGTTTATTTTTTGGATGTGATTTTGAAGTTTGTTGGGAATTTTTGGTTGGGTTTTTTTTTTTGCCTTGTCAGTATTTTGAAAGAAGTCTTGCAGCAAATAAAGAAAAACACATAAAGTATGTTTGCCTAAGGAAAAAACATGCTCAAATCCACATAAAAATTGCTGTAAAGGCTAAATAAACAGCTATCTCTCGCTCTCTTTTTAGGTCTTCTCCAATGTCTTGGAGAGTGTTCTTGTCTCTAGTCCAAAGCATTGCTGGCTTTTTTGAGATTAATTCCAGATCTTTGGATATGGATAAGCAATGGATCTTGCTACTGAACACAGAAATCTCAGTGACACCATAGTTCTTGCAGTATTTCTAAAACTCACACTTATTTTGACTTTAACGGTAAAGACAGACGGATGCAAAGAAGATGAAAGTTCTCAGGTAAGGGCAGAATTGATGACAGAATTTCTGAGGCAGTGCCAAGGGCACCTGTGCTTCAAAGGCTGCACAGGAGAGAAGACAGCTGCTCCTGAATGACATCCTCAAGAACAAAAGCATCTTTCTGTGCCTTTCAGCCCACAGCACTTCTGCAGTGCATTCTCTTGGATTTGTAACCCCAAAATGCATCTAAAAATTGAGTTTCAAACTCCACTCTTTCAAAAACCAGAAAGTCACTCCTTTTTTTCTTTTTTTTTTAATATAAGAAACACAGGGAACAGGATGTTACTGTCAGTGCATTCATAGTTGAGTGGGAGTTAACTGGGGACTCCAAGTGTGCAGTTTTGGACTTGGACCTTGGACAAAAAAATGCCAAACTAATTCAATCCATCAGAACATGCATTTTGCAGTGATGAAGCAGGCCACACTTCTTCAGGCAGACATGCTGGGGAAACTACCAGTCCTCTAAACTACCATTAAAAACCAGGACCACAAGGAATTCTATAGAAGCCTACGGTATATATAGGTTATTACACAATGGATGCTGGTGCCTTAAATTCACTTCCACAGTTCTGACAGAAATTAATTACACTCTGAAACAGCTGGAAGGAGCTGTCCCAACACTGCTAGAACTCTGAGTAGGAACACAAAGATACTTTAGAACCTTCCTATTCCCTTTGTCAAAGAAGAGATACTGTTCTAACCCTTGTGCATCACTAGGGAAACACAACTTGTACAGACAAAAAACTGGTTCGTCAAATAAAATCATGCAAAATGGATTTTTTCAAGGCAACTGTCAATATACAGGAGTTTCTCCTATAGTTCAGAGCCTTTAAAGATTCAATATAGTTACAGATGTGGAAGTCTTACATCTTAGTACAGTCACAGTTACCAACACCTCCACACTAAAAGGAAATTAAAGTACAGCAAGACTCACCTCTCACAGTAGTACTGCCTTTGCTTAGTGCATTTAACAGCTTTCACATTACTTCCAACCATTTGCTAAGTGGTACATTTTAGTGGCTAGATCTAATTAGCCTGTTCCAAAAGGAACATTTTATTATGCAACTTGCTGCTTTTCCTTTGGAACAATATTGCTGCACTTTTCATCACATTGATGTGTTTGCATTCTTCCTTTTTACTTTTATCCAGTTAAACTGGGAAGAAAAATGTATTTCCATACTGATTCAGATAGCATGAGAACTTTAGTAGCCCATTTGCAAGAACTGGATCCACCAAGATTTCCTCACCTATCAGGAATGCCCAGCCTCTTGACACTTCTGTACACGGAAAGAGTATTTGCCACATGACGATAATTAAACCAGAATCGAGATGTACACACCTTGAAACAGAAAAAAAACGACATTAAACAGTGCAAAGATTCAAATTGGCCTGACACATTGCATCAGAACAACGTGATTACGGGAATATTTAAAAAATAGTGACAACTCAGAAAGAATATAGTAACACCAAGAAACTCATTATATAAGTTATGCAATTTTTAGTTGTCCCAAGGCAAAAAATTCTGATAATAAAAGTTCAAAAAAAAAGTTCCTAGCATACTGACTCAAGATAAAATTGTTATAAACCCTTACTAAATATAGAAGGTGACACTTTGGGGAATAATCCAGCAACAGCAAGTAGATAAAATAAATTTTTTCATTTGCTTTCTCCTTATCAAATGGAAGAGAGATCAAAGGAAGAGTTCGCTCTCAATAGCAATCCCATTCTGGGAGCATTCTTCCACAAAGGCACAAGTGAATTAATTCATGCAGAAGCCACACACAGGGGAAAATGCACTGAGTACATTTGCATTTATGGAGTCAAAGTAAGAGTAAAGTGAGCTCTAACCAATACAAATACAAATGAATCTGGATACAAATTCTCAGAGTTTAATTCCTACTGTTCTAACAGGCAAGGGGTCAGGGCTCAGCCATTCCCTTTACTTACACACTCCCTAAATCAGGTTCTCATTCAGACATTCCAAAAGCTTCTAGAAAAGGTGACTTTAAAACCACAAAAACAGAGATGCAGGAAAAAATCATTTAGATAGTTTCTTAATTTTCCAGCCCTAAATGTAAAGCTGTCAGTCACACCACGTAGCATCTCTTTCTCTGCTCTTTCCATAATAAGAACTGAGTTGTAGCTTAAGTAATAATAAAATTCAGCCTGAAAGGATCCCCTTGTGTATCTATTACCCTGTCAGTTAGGAATCCCAGAAAACCCCACAGGAATCAGTCCATGAGGACATTTGCCTTTCAGTAAGACTTAATGCTCTGAAAACAAACTGTGTCCAACTTAGCTGAGACATTTCAAGGTACTATCACCTGCACCCTGCCTCCAGTACCTCCCTTAGAACACAGTGGAAAGTGTCAGAGCTTTAAATATAGGTATCCACACTGCAGCACATTAATTCAAGCTATTGATGAGGTGGGATTGCAGTTTGATCCCAGGTTTGAAGTGCCTGACAGCAGTAACCTCTCCCTGCTTTGCTGCTTAAAATATTAGTAGCAACTATTACAAAACTCAACAATGAACCACTAAGAAAATAAAACCAGCAGAAAATCTGTTCAGCACAGACAGTATAGGTTCTTGGACCTAATTTTCCACCTTCTTTATGTGTTTTTATCGGTACTAATAAAAGCATCTATTTGTTAATAGTATTAAAATAGTATGTTATGTTTTAATAGTTCAAGTTTGTACATTGTAAAATATAAAAGTTATTTCTTCAATTAGTTACTGTTAACTTTCCTTTTATATTGCTCGGTTTTAGTATCTGGGAAACAAACAGCTGCTACTGAGTAATTACAACAGTGTTCTGAAACAAATTAGTCATTAAGACCTGAATTGTGATTAAGAACCAATTGTGCAGCATGATTCAAAGGTAATAAAAGTTACATGGCAAAGAAAAAAGAAAGGGTACAAACAGTCGATCTAAACACTGTATTGCCTCAACTGATCTTATTCCCAGTCTGTTATCACAAGTTAACAAATTGAATAAGAACAAAAATGATACAAATTCTACCTTTCTGCTCAAAGAGACCAGACTTCCCTGGTATCAGAATTACACCTTTTTTTCAACATGCAGTATGCTAATTTAACTATTTTAATGCTTTTGGAACTTTTGTTTTATGAATCCTGCCATATAGCTAGATACACTGAGTGCTTGAAATTTGGTCATATTGAAAAGACAATTTCATTATAGTGTAATGAATTTGCAGGCACAATTTGAAATTTATTTATTTCCAAATGTTTATCTTTCTATTTCTTTCAAATGAGCATGACTCTTGAATGACTGTTGCAATTGCAGCTCCTGATGAAAAACTGTCAACATTATTGGAGGAAAACAACCTGGACCATGCTTACCAAAACTGCCCAGTTATTCGTATGTCCACTTCTAAAAAACTGCTCTGCTTGATCCTGAAAGATGAAAAAAATTTAGATTTTTCAGCAATAAGAAAGAAATGACCACTCATCATTTTGTTATTTCCACAATAGTGTTCAATGCACATGTTTACCACACATTAATACTGAATAAACCTTAGAAAAGCTAGAAGAGAGGTGGTTTTCTTAACATTTGCACATTTCATGTTAATGCTCCAAATATTTCCCTGAAACTTGCTACAGAACAAAGAGGAACTACTAGTCACTTGCACCTTAGCTAAAAAAGCCCACACACCTCTATGCCAAAGGACACTCCAAGAACAAGATAATGTGATTTATTGACCTACAGTTTCATCCCTAATGAGAAGAGAGCCTAGGATTCAATTCAATTCAATTTTCAAAAGCAGGTAAGAGAATCTGCAGTTTGAACCCACTTTAAATCCAAGGCACTTACACTTATCTTCCAAAATCAGGATCTATGACAGCAACCTTCTGTATAAATCTGTGTTCTCCACAGTTCCCACTTTCCTTTGATAAGAGGCCCCTTTCTCCTTAACAGGGAGCATAAATCAGGACACAACAAGGGGATAAGACTTCACAGAGGTAAGGGAATAAGTCTGTCATGGGACAACAACCCAAATCTGCTGACTCTTAAATCAGACTCTATTAACTCTGAGGAGTTCTGGGATGATGCTCGTGGTCTTACACAAAACACACAGTAACAGAAATACTGTTGTACTTCAAGTAGCAAACAACCTGCAGTTTAATTAGTCATCCAGAGATTGTAAGAATATTTCTATTGTTCAGGGTGCGGGGGTTGTTTGGTCCTAGTTGTAATTAATTTCAAGCATAACAACTTGTTAATAACGCAGAATTCAAAAGCAAACAACACTCCAGATGCAGCGTGGGCACAGCGCATTAAGCTAATTGCTGAAACATGAAATTACTCCCACCTGACAAACCCACTGGCACCTGCCGTGTGCAAGCGGGCACCGGGCCGGGGAGCCCGGGCCGCTGCTCCGCCCTGGGAGCGCCCGCGCCCGGCCCGGGGCACACCGGACGGGGCCCGCCGGCTCCGGCAAGGGGTAGCAGACACCCAATACAAGTTATAGTGTGTGGCAGAGAGAAAGTGAATTTCAGAAACCCGCAAGAGGATGAAAACAAAATGAGGGTTTGTAACTTTCAGCAGTTTGAACAAGGCACCGGCGCTCTCGACACACAGAGCGCCGCGGTTCCGCCCACGGGGCAGCGCCGGGAGGCTCCGCCCGCCGGGAGGCAGCGCTGGTGACCGCGGCTCAGTATCGGTGCCCGTGGTACCGACAGGGCCCCTCCTGCGAGCCGCCAGCCTCCGGACAGCTCTGCGGGCAGCCCACGGGTTCGCTCGGTGCCCGCCGAGGGGTGGCGATGGGGACGCGGCAGCACCGAGCCCCAGGCGCCGCCCGCCCGCCCGCTCGCTCTCGGCCCCGCCGCGGCTCCCCAGCCCCGTACCTGGAGGCCGCCGGGCAGCGCCGCGCCGCAGCAGCCCAGCAGCAGCAGCAGCGCGGCGGCGGCGCGGGCCCGGGAGGCGCCGGGCACGGCAGCCGCCATCTCAGCCCGCCTCCTGCGCGGCCCGGCCGCGGCTGCCGGAAGGGGGGCGGCGGCCTGTGCGCAAGTTCCGCGGGCGGGAGCGCCGCCGGCCCGGGCCGTGCCCTGCCCGCTGCCGCCGGCCCGGCGCCGCGGGAGCGGGGCCGCTGCTGGGGGCGCTCCGGGGGCTCTGGTCACGCACTGAGCTCTCCCGGCTCTCCCAGCCTGCCGGGCTGGCAGGGCAGAGGCGGTAATGGCAGCCGGTCTGGCGTTGCCTTGGGCACCCGAGTGCGCCGTGGCTCCGTCGTGAGCTGGGGCTGGAAAACACCGGCCGCGCATCCGCCGTCGGCTCGTTGGCTCCTGCGGGGTAACAGCAGCCCTTCCTCTCAGCCACCTTCCAAGAATTCCGTGAAATCCTGGGCTCTAAGAGGGCAGGGCATGGCGGGCTGTGAGCCCAGGGTGTCATCAGGTCTTGGTGGCCGCAGGGCTACCTTGGAGAGCGGAGGGGACGGCTCGGGAGAGGGACCAGCTTTGGCAAGGGAGGGAGTGGGACGTAAAGGTAGATTTTTTTTTTTTCATGAAGCCTTGCTATAGCTTTGCCTGTAGTGTATTCATCCCTCAGAGCTGATGCATCATCAAATTTTTATTTCAATGTATTGAACCACTTGGTATGATTCTTTTATTTCTACTATCTCATCTTGTCACTGCTTTGTTCAATTGCCTGATGCCTTCCATCAGTGAAGATGCAGAATCTGCCCTGAACCATGGAAGCTATATCTTGCTCCATGTACGTGTCACCAGTAATGACTTTCTCAGACAGGAGCACATTTCCATGTATTGATGTTGGAATTTCAATAGCATCACATTTGCTGTTTTAAAGCATCATTGGTTTCCTTGACAAAAACAATCACCTGTTATTAGATGGTACTTACTCCCTTCAGAATACCATAGCCACCAGCTCCTGTTGTGCCTGAACCCTTCTGTGTGAGCCTCTTGTGAACCTACTGAGAAGTGCTATGGTTGTCAATGTCTGTTCGTATCTGCTTGTAAGCTGCACTGTTTATCTTCTTCCAGAAAGCTAAATGAATTTAGGGCCAAACTTAAGCTTTATTCTTGCCCCTTCAAATGCTTCCACTTAGGTCTCTTGATCATTCTCAGATGTGGTCATGATGTGTCAGTATTCTAAAGGATAGACAAGGATAATACTAAAGGATCTCTCCAAGCATGTATTCATGCAGTTTGGTAAACTGATGAGTTGATTTCATTTCACTCAGATAGCACCTCAATACCTTTCTGCTCCCATGTGGAATTGGCCAGGAAACCTGTGACGAGGTCTGAGCCTGTGACTGAACTTCTTTCAGTTAGGCTTACTTCCTTGCTCTTTGCACTTATTACAAATATTCATCCTTTGGTAACATCCTTTTCACACAGAAATAATGTCAGCAGCTGTATCCTGATGATACATCTTTGAACCAGACATAAGTCTTGATGTTTGTACCATGTGAAAAGTTATGTCAAATACGGCCAAAAGGTTACTTTTGGTTTACCAAGAAACATTCCTGACATGAGAGGTAATGAACGTCTTTTCTGTGAATAAAATTTAAAATCATCCTGTTTGCTTACAAACTCCTGAACCTCCTGAAATTTGTATCAGAGGTGACTGTAACTTTTTCATTCTCTGGAATGCTAGACTTTATAATTTTAATAGCATTCTTTAAAGGTTACTGTGTCTGATTTGCTACTTAAGAAAATAAACTGAAAAAGTGGAAAAAACCCTCATGTGGCATTGGAATGATACAAACACAGGTTAGAAACGATAGCAAATTTTCATTACATGGAAGATCACTTGTATTTCTCATGGTTACATGTAGCTGGGTTTGCAATCACCAGGAAGGCTCAGCAGGCTCCTGATGCAAAAGCTGCAAAAATAGCTGCCTACATAGCTGATACATAGCTGCACACTCCGAGTTCTTGTGTCCCCTGGTGTCATCTGCAGTGTATGAGCAGTGTTTGGATCAGCACAGCCACACTGCAGGGGCTGCTCTTTGACTGTGGGTGTTCAGGTCCTATTGCTGCCTTTCCATCCCAGGCAGCACTGAGTTAAGGCAAGCTCAGTTGCACAAGCTCTTTGGAATATTCCAAAAGAATGGCCATTACTCCCTCTGATTAATATTCTGTGTAATACTGTGCATCACCTTCTTAGGTCTGTCTCTGGTTTGCCTTCTGAATTCCCTTAGCCTGTTGGAGTGTCTTTTCTAATGGATCTAATTCTCCTTCTACTTCTGGCTCTTATTTCTTACAGGCTCAGTCTTTCTGGGCTTTAGTATTCATCAGACATGTATGAGTGTGCCAGTGCTTCAGGCATTATTCCTGGAGGTGGTATCACGTCTCTTTTTTTTCTCCAGTAAGACAGTACCAACAGCTTTGTCCTCATTTTTTTCATCTTTATTCCCTTAGGCAGCTCTCAGTACATACTTCCATGCCTGTACAGGATTTTTTTTTTTGTCTGGAAGTAAAGATCTGTGCTGTCTGCTCCTGTTTCTTCATTCTACTTTGTTTCTGTGCTAGTAACAATACTTTTCATGCTCTGAGCGTCTTTAGCTTGACTTTTGCCACAATGTGTCTTGTACTTCATGGTGAGTAATTAGAAAGAACATCAAGTGTGTATTCCAAACTTATTTGTAATTAAAACAATTGTTTAAAAAGCTGCTGTAACTGCAGCTGGTGTTCACATTGCTGCACTGCTTGGTGCCCTTCCAGATTCTTTCCTCCTCCAGCAGGTTGCTCAGGCCCTAATCCTCTAATCTATACCCTCTAGAAATTGCCCTTTATGAACCATCTGTCAGCTTGTTCCTGTCCAGCATGGAGCAAAAAAGCCACTGAGGAGGAGCAGAAATCCCAAGTGTAACCCTATAAGTTCCTAAAACAAGAATTTATGATACTAGACTTCACCTGACACTTTCTAATCATGAAATTGGGTTTTTTCCTGTACCAAAAATACCAATTAAATATCCATAATTTTGTTGGCATTAACCTTGATTGTATCACTTATTTGTGTCACAGTGCATCTCTTCCTTCTTCTATACTCTTGATCACTGTTCTGTGTCTGCTTTCCTGTTTGTTTTAGACTTGCATGTACTGTCTGATAATTGTCTCCTGTGTAAAAGAAAAAAATCTATCTTTGGCTGTATTTGTTGTGCTTCCAAAAGAAAAATTAAAATAAGCTCTTGCAATGACTTAAGTCAACAAGAGTGATTCTTAAGGAATCATCAATAATAGCTGAACTCTACTATCCCACTTTAAAAATGCAGATTTATTGCTTTCTTCCTTTTGACCGTCAATACATTTTAAAAATGTCAAAACAAGTCTACTGTATTTTGGTATCTCATCTGATAATATGGCAACAGTAATTAAATTATTGATTGATCTCACTCATTGGCGTTTTTCCCCTCTTCTGTTAATGAAAGGCTGGCTTGACTAAAGAATGTTCATACTTTGAAAGATTTACAATAGCAAATTAATACTGATAAAAAGTAGGCAAAATTAATATCGTGAGAGTAATAGATACAGAACTTCCAAAGGAAAATTATTTGAAAGAAGCCTTGTTTCTAATTTTACTGAGCTGAAACAGTTGTACTGAAGGGTGTTTGTCAATAGATTATCTTTGTACTCTGGCTAAACACAGTAGACTGCACATTTCTGTTCAACCATAGTATCAAGTGGCTTAACTCCACATTGGAATCAAATAAGACAGTATTTGTTACTGTTATTTACAAAGTGGGATTATAGAAATAATGTTTTACAGGCCTTCTGAGGTCAGAATAGAACACAGGCAAAAACCTTGAAGCCTGCAATGAAATTCAGTTGACATTTGTTCTTAATGAATTAACCATCTACCTTGTCATCAGTTCTGTTCTGTCATTAATGATGTAAATATTACCAGGCATTGAATTTCCATACTGTTGAATTGTGAAATAAACAAGTATTACATCTTCAGAAGACAAGAAGTTACCAACCATTCCAACAGTTTATTCTGTTGGTAAAAAAAGGTAAAATATGAGAAAAGAAAACATGGAAAAACAGTGGCAGCTTATTGAGATAGTTAATTAGGTCACATTTAGTCTTTCTGCACCAGTATTTTTCTCAATAGATAAAGCTGAAAATATTTTCTCAAATCATTATTAAAAGAGCAAAATCGGGAAAAAGACAGCAGTAAATCTCCCCAATGTATTATTTATTTAAAACATTATTTAAAATTACCCTCCCCATTGTATTTTTTCATTGGTATTTCAAAAGGGTGCATGCTCAAATAGAAAATTCATGGGCTTCTTAATTAGAAACAAGATAAGAATCTTAATTAAACTGCCCTAAATACAGCTAAATTTAGAACCAGTTTTACCTTTGGCTTCAAGCAGTGGATAGAACATTGTGGTTTAGAATCGTTAAGAAGCCATCACTTTTATCCCACTGCCAGTTCTGACATCTGTATGATAAATCTCTCCTGAGTGCTGAACACACCAATACCTGAGTGCCTCAGCAAAGTCCTCCCTGTAGGGATTGAGCTGAAGTGGCCTCAGCTCTGCTGGTTAAATTAACTCAAATAAAGGGCAGTGTTGCTGATAGACTCATTTTAGCTCCCAAACCAATACTTAAAGCTATTGTGTGTACTCAAACTGGTCTTCAGCCTGCAATCTAAATATAACCTTTTGTCTTTCAAGTAATTGTCTTATTTGCAAGCAAGGGGTTTTGTATTCCATTGAGAACTACTCATCAACTATATGAGAAAACCAACAAAACATTTGAAAAAAAAGGCTGGATGCACATCAGCTTTACCTGGAAAAAGTTAGTATTATGAAAATCTTGTTAGAAATAAGATCTACAGTGAGTCCTGAGTCAACTTTATAAAAGGTTACTCATGCTCCAAGTACAATAACATTGATTAACATTAAACATTTGTGCAGTGACTAAAACTGAATCCAGTATATTGCCAGGAAAGGTTATGCAGATCAATGTTTGATGGGTACTGAAATGTCATTAAACCTGACTAGTGGAAGTGTGACTTGAGAAGCAAAATTTAAGACAAATCCAAAACTAGGCTGTTAAGGAATTTAAAGAAATATTCTCAATGAAAGGAATAACTTAATATTTTAGAATGTAAATATACATTGTTGTTTTTGTTCTTCTTAATGTTTATCCAGGAGATTTGGGGAAGAGCAGATTGAAACAGCCCAACAAATTTTTAGACAAAACTTTACTTGTAGTTTTAGAAGCAGCTGCTTAAGAGCAGATCAGCAAACCTTAATAATTTCTCGCTCTACTCAAACTGTGTAAAGCAGAGAGATCATTTTCTTCTCTCTTTAGCTTCATTTACCAGGATTGCGTAAAAGCTGCTGTGGATCAAGTGGAAAGTGCTCATGCTGAACTAAGCATAGAGTATCCTTCAATAAACTACAAGTTCTAAGTCCATGCTCTTGGAAATTAAA